AGGAATGATATAAATTGTCTAGAGCTAGTCTAGCAAGGAGGAGCTAAAGCTCAATTGAAAAACGTTATTAACTATCTTTTTTTCTTTTTAAGTGTATTTTAGATTGTTTTTGTTAAAGATTTATACCCTATATTGGTTCTGGGAAGTCGGGAGGGGGGAGGTTGCTGGGGGTTTGGTGTAGGGTTGGGGGTAGGGGGAGGGAAGTAAATATTGAAATTTCTTCATGACAGGATATATAAGGTCCTACAGTCCTTATATAGAGAACAGTATAATGACATTTGACTTAGAGTTTCTGTTGGACCGTCACCACTTGGAAATAACTGAAGATGCATTGGAATCCCCTTAAAACATCCAAGAAGGACTACTGTGGCATATTATCCACCTGATTAATGTGAAGGTCTTTTAAATGATAAAAACATACAATAATTGTAGAGGTATGTTGTGCAACACTTCCTTGGAAGGAAAAATGAGCATGCTAAGGATAAATTGCATTCCAAGAAAGGCGCATACATGTTCAATTAGAGTCCCATTTATTTGCTATTTATAAACTTTATGAAAATGGAGGCAAACCACTTCCTACAATGTCCAAATTATGCCCAGAAATAAAACTTGTCCAGGTTTACCCTTTCTTGAATTGATTCTCCAGGAATGAGTTGAGGTTCAATTGTAATGAACAATGAAAGGTAGGAACCATCACTGAGTTGCTGTATGGAATCATATTTTCTGTCGTTTTCCACATTTTTCCCTTTGCTATAGCCAAGAAGAACAGGAGGAGTATCAATCTTAAATGTGCCATCAATCTAGATGAAGAGAAACAGAGAATCTTGATTAAAAATAACAATAGCAATAGCACTTAAGGCTTATACACTGCCCCATGGTGCTTTATAGCACTCTCTCGATGGTCTACAGTGTCAACATATTTCCCCCAACAATCTGGATCCTTATTTTATTAACCTTAGAAGGATGGAAGGCTGAATCAACCTCAAGCCCATCAGAATTGAACCCCAGGCTATGGGAAGAGTTAGCCTGGAATACTGCACTTTAACTATAATGCCACCAGGGCTCCTTAAATATTAATAGTCAAGAATGCTGCAATAAGTTATTTATATGCATGCTTATGTGTAAAAATGCTTTCTTCAGTACTTACTCTTCCTTGAAAATATACTGTTGTAAATGGTATCCGAACCAATCCAAGCCAACGCTTTTCCATACAGGTATGGACTCCACCAACTTCTCTTTCACGGTCATCCTAAGAAAATGTCCCAAAAATCCTGATCAACATTTGCAAAAAGAACATGCTGAGCTTCCCTATTTCTCCCCCTAAATTCTCTAGAATTAATGTATTTATTTAATTTGCCAAGTTACAAAGCTGTTTATCTCATAGTTGTGACTCTAGCAGGGGTGGGTTCCTGCCGGTTCTAACCGGTTCGGTAGAGGAGGTTCCACAAATCTACCATGCTGGTTAAAACCCGGTGCAGGTGGAAGGAAGGAAGGAAGGAAGGAAGGAAGGAAGGAAGGAAGGAAGGAAGGAAGGA